ATTACATTAGGTACTCTAATATGTGATTAGTTATTATCTTTTGAGGTTTTAGAATATGTTTTAATGGATCGGATCGGATAATCGCGGATACTTAAAAAAAATTCAGTTATCCGACTTATAACGAAGCGGATCAGATATTCGCGGATATGTACAAAAATTTCGGATATCCAAAAAATACCGAAGCAGATCGGATCGGAAAATTTAATATTCGTTTCGGACAGAACGGATAACGGATTTTTTCTGGATATCCGCTCTGTGCCCAGGGCTACTCTATATGGGACCAAGATCAAAACATCTTTATCCGAATCTGGCCTAAAACCTGACACGAATACACAGGACAAATTTTTACATATCGTAATTTTTCAGTATTTTGAATAATGTGCATGTGTCCAAATACCAAAACAAACACAATCTTTCACGGAAAGCATTCTAATATTATTGCACAATTATAGGACACAATCGCTTTACAAAGTTCGTATACGTAACAACTCTCCCATAAATTTTTAATATGTTTAACAAAAAAATAGAAAGCATTCACATTGTGCTCCCGGAGAAATAAAACAAAAAAAAAGGCTCTACTCTTATAGTAATACATAAATCACAGGAAATATAAATTTTCATCTATTTTTTTATATAGTTCACGAGCAATACATGCTACAATGAGAAGATCAGTATACAAATATAACCATTTTTCTTTTTGTATAATCTTTTCATTTTTTAAATTTAAATTTATAAAATCTTTCTTTAACAAGCAGAGCCAGCTTCTACCAGCTTGCTCAATTTATTGTTCCTCAATCTTTCTTCGTAAACTTCACTTCCTTGCATCTCATTCTCATACCTACATGACATATTTAATACATATACTATTAGGCAAAGACAAATAAATCAACTATTAAAAGAAAATTGGATCGATTCAATTAATTTATAAATAGTAACATCTTTTGAAAAAACAACAAAGATTATAGGATTAAAATGTACCTCGGAGGCATAGGTATCAAAGGAGACAAACTCTCAACAAGCTTGAGAGCTTCTTCTTCTGTGTTAACAATTTGATTGAAACAGAAATATCTACCACAAGCTGAAACATCTTCAAATGCTCGAATATGAACCTCAGCCAAAAACTTAACGTCTACGTACGCCAATACACCATTCTCATACATTTGTGCAGCTCCTGTTACACACATCAGATTCAAACCCATGAGTG